CATCCGCATTGTGAGCGTCTAGACTTCGTGACAAGCATTTACTGACACTTCACGTCACATCAAGCTTTTACGGGGATCGCGAAAATAAGTTATGTGAATATTTTACTCAGGAAGGACTGTTAGTGAATTGCAACAATATTCCTGACTTCATTTCAATGATTTATTGACTCAAGTAAGCGTAGTTTAAATGGCGTTTTATTGCACAATGGTAATCAACTGGCCTCGGTTCACGTTGTACATTCTGTATATTTAAAAGAAAATTATGAAAATTTAGGACTTCTTTTGAATAAAATAAACGTGCTGTGCATGCTCCTAGGATAACATGTTTTATTTGTCAATGGGATAGTCGGGCAAGATATAGATATTAGAGTCAAACAGAATGGCCCTCTAGAACAGGGCTTACATCTAGTAGCAAAAATGTTTTAAGAGATAGCATAGTTGACCCCAAAAAAGCTCTACTGCTTTACTGCGTTACTCTTCATATCAAACTTGGCTTGATGAAGCAGTTTGTTAAAGCCATAGACAAAAATGGACAATATTTCCAATATTTGTACCAGAAATTGCCAGCCATATCTGATGTCAAGATAAAAGGAGGTATTTTTGTTGGGCAGCAGATAAGAACATTATGCAAAGACAAGGATTTTCAAAACACAATGGCCATTGTCGAGAAAAAACGCCTGGGTTTCATTTAAAGAAGTAATTGATAAGTTTCTTGGGAAGTCTAAGCACCAAAACTACATCGTTTAGTTAGTTAGTTAGTAGTGACTTTGTAAGTGCATTTCCGGTTTTCACACCTGAACTATTGGAACAGTTAGCGAAGAGCAGGGAGACAGGTTTCACCAGGACATTAAGGGAATGGAACGGTGATGCCAAGGCAGATGGAGCATAACGATGATGGCAGACTACTGATTTATGTTAAATCGGGATATGCCCTTAAAAACACAGCTGAATGTCCGGACAACGCAGCTTTCTGGCAAAAATACGAAAAACAAAAAAGTCTCAGCGGAACCCCGTCCTTATGTATCTTTGGGAGCCCGTTGAATTTTGGACAACGACTCGATTTTTCCCTGGGAATAAGTTTCTTCTTTGTATCCTCGTTTATTGATGAACCGACAATTTTGGATTTAGTTGTTTTTTCCAAATATGTCGTGGGATCTCTGGTGACTAGTTTGTATATTGGGTCGTTTAAAATATCCTCCAATTTTGCATTTTAATCCCATGTATTCATGACGACAATGGCATTTCCTTTGACTGCTGGCATTATTATGATATTTTCGTTTTTGTTTAGATTTTTCAGTGCATGCATTTCTTCTCTGCTTAAGTTTGGTTGTGGTGGTTTTCACTGTCTTAAAACTCTGCCGACGTCTTGCCGTATCAACTCCGCATCTTGTTCGTCTATGGTGGAAAGACTTGCTTCGGCGCTGGAAACGATCTCTTCGACGGGTATTCTTTTTGGAGCTATTACACAGTTAAATCCTTTGTTCAATACGTTGACTTCTGTATCGGAAAGATGGTATGCTGAAATATTATGAACTGTAAGGCTTGTCCTGGTTTCTTGGAATTGGACTGAAGAATCGACGGGTATTCTTTTGGAGCTATTGCACAGTTAAATCCTTTGTTCAGTACGCTGACTTCTGTATCGGAAAGATGGTATGCTGAAATATGAACTGTAAGGCTTGTCCTGGTTTCTTGGAATTGGACTGAAGAATTTCTAATTTCTTCAACTTCCATTTCTTTTTGACGTGATATCTTTGTCTTTCTCAGTGCGCCATGATGTTAATAATTCTATGCGGTGCCACAGCAACTGATGGATTTCGTTGCTTAGTTTCAAATGAAGTCTGAAAAGTTGTCGCTCAGTCTTACTAATATCATACCGGGTCCGCCTCATCTGGTCTTGGAGTAGGGCCTTGCTAGCTTTGTCCAGGATAGCTTGTGTCTTTCTGGTGCGTGTGTGATAAGGCAACCTTGTAAACGTTGACAGCAAGTTGCATGGCGAAGTAACCTTCCTTTGTCTTAGTTTTTCACAAAACTAGGTGGCTGTAAAGGTCTCCTTCCCATAAAGGTGTATAATATTTTCACGTATTGATTCACGGATGGAAAAATGTGATGACAATATATTCCGGGATATCATCCGTTCATTTATTGAACTCCGACTGGAATCCTGCTGACGTTTCGCCAAGATATCACTTGCCATCTTCAAACACTTCGAACACTGTGTTTGAACTAGGTGGTTCAATTTTCTTTTCTATAGTCTACTAAGGGCACAAGATATTTGAAAATGGCGGCGATCGAAAATTGGCGGTCATGTTTTGTTTTCGATTTTCGACCGTTTCTTCGACATTGGTATGAAACACGATAAGTTTCCGAAATTTGAAGCTATCAGCATCAAATTTTTCAAGCGAATAGCAGCACCTATTGAAATTGGCGAGAGCTGCGAGGTAAAGTTTCTTTTTTGGTATAAAAATTATTTTCTCGAAAACTATTAACCCGATCGGTAAAATTTGGGAACCAGGAAATGCGGGAGATCCGGCACCATAACTTTTATTTCAGGCATTTTTTCCATTATATATATGGTTTTTCAATTATAGACAAAAATTTAAAAGACCCTGAAAATCATACTTTCCGCTATTAAATTATTAGCAGTAAATAAAAATTCGTGAAAAATATGGCCAATTGGTTTAAACAGTATTATAGGCCACCTCCAGACCTACAATTTTTGTATTTATGGTTTTCGTCTATCACATACGCTGTTCGCGATATTTGAAAAAATCCAAATAAAAATCACCATTTCTCGCCCTCAATCTAGACCGGATGATGTCATTTACTATTACCACGTACTGCATGTTTTCAGAAAACAAGTATTTTCGTGAAAATCACTTACTCTATTGGAAAAAATCATATACCAAGAAACGTGGGAGAACCAAGGCTATAACCTCTATTTCGAACATTGTTTGAATTATATACAGGGTGTGTTTTATGGGCAAAAAAATCTAAAACAGCCTAAAAATTTCCGTTTTTTGGGGGTAAATTATTGGGGATAAATGAAAAACTGTTAATGATGCGATAATTTGATTTGAACAGTATCGTAAACTGTGTCGAGACTTTCAGGTTTTGTCAATTATACAGGGAGCTCGAGGTATTTGAAAAATATCATTCAACAACGCTATTATTTGTACAAACTTTAATATTTTACAAAGTTTGTCGTAACTTTGAAGTTCGGCGAGACTCGAAAGTCTACTTATACAGGGTGGCCCGCAGGAGCACGATGAAAAAAACAATGTCTACCCGTAGAACAAGAAACTGGGAAGCGGTGTGTTTTCAAAATACACAGCTGGTTCGCGCTACACGCTACCAATTTGCTCTGCCCACCGTCGATTTTTCGAAAGCAATCTTTTTTTATACGCTCTTTTATCTTCATTAATGCGTTTCTTAATTGTTCTGCCCATACGTCCGACATAAATGTTGGGACATGGTCCACATTTCAGCTTCTAGACTCCGAATGTTAACGTTTTTTATGGTTTAGTTTTACCGTTTTTTAAAAAATATTCAATAGTTTTTTTCAGTTTTAAAAACATTCTTATGATCAAATTTAGATAGATGTTTCGAAATTTTCTTGCTAGGTTCTCCTATATATTATATAATAAAATATATGTAATAAAATACATAGAAGAACATAAAAAGAAAATTTGGGGGGCTGATAGGACCAATCATCTTTTAACTTGGTCACAATTCTTACTTTTAACTCTCTGCTCGTATATGGAGCCATTTTAGGCTTCCCTTTATTTTCTAACGTATTTGTGACAACGCTGTTAAGTAATTTTCTATTACATTCACAGATGCCTCCCCGAAACCCAGATATTTAAGAATGGTGAACAGAATATTGTGATTAATCATATCAAAAACCCTAGAGTAGTCGAGTAGGACCGACACAGTGTACATTTAGCAGAGATGTAGCACAACTGTGTCCCATCCAAAAACCTGTCTCTGTTTTGTTAATTAGTTTCTTTTCCCAACATAATTTACTATTTGAGTTTTTAGAGAACCTTCTATATATAACCTTAGATAACATTGATAGAATCTAAATTGGTCTTAAATCACTAAATGATGACAGATTGTAAATTTTAGGAAAAGGAACAATATTAATAATAATAACAAACAAAAATAATATTTAGTAACCAAATTACCTAAATTTTCGAACAGCGATATGCCCTTTGGTACACAATTAGGACAGTTCGCAATCGACATTGATGTTGTACACAGCTAACGTGAATCAATCCATTCAGTCTACAGTTAAATATATCACATACATTTGACAAATTATTATAAATTAGAACACGCTACATGCATAGATGCACTTTTTAACGGGTTTGTTCTGACCCGAACACAGTGAAAAGTATCTTTAATGCGATAATTTAAACGTGGTATACGAATATCCAAGTACGCTAAGAAAGTGGGACAGTTTATAACGTTATGTAAAAATTTATAAATGAAGATAACTGACTCGCACTTGCGCCTCCGTTCAAGACTATTTATATTAAATTTATCTAAACTATAATTACGATTAGTCTCAGATACAATATATAAACAGGTACATTTTGTATTTGATGTTGGCGAAATAACTGTCAAAAACTAATAAATAACTGTGAAAAACCGAAAAGTTTTTATTCTAAATTAATTGTGTTAATAATGCATTTTATTGTAAGTGATGGATATACTTTTCTTCTAGTTATGAATGGCAATGGCAATGCAACAGAAATACGCGCTCCTACGCCTGTGGCCAAAACAGCTAAGCTGAGTGATTGGATATCCACAAAGGAAAAACACTCAACCCTTAAGAATATACGTATTCATTTTTATCACTCAAAATATTTAAATAAATCTGCCATTAGATGAGACGTCAAAACAAAATTTGTTTTGTCAAAGTGTGATATATATGACAAATAAATAAAAAAAGTTTTCTTACATTTTAGCAGCGACATTACGGTTTTTTTCGTCCTTACCTAGCAAAAATCCCCTGTACTTGGGTTCGGCGGTCTCCCCTATGTAGACGCCAGTGGCGGGTGCGAGGACCCCCGCGCAAAACCCGGTGATGAAGCGGCCTGCCATCAACATCTCCACGTTGTATGCCGTGTATATGACGATCCAACCGGCGAAATTGGGCAGCGATGTGATCACGTGCGTCGTTTTTCTGCCGAATTTCTCGATGAGGTAGCCCCCCAACAGGGCCGCTACTGATTGCGGCAAGGCCGCCAACGAGGCTGCAAAAAAAATAAGTTCGGGGCTAAAAAGTCGTTTCTAATTGCACCCGTGGCGTCCCTATCTACGCTTCATAAGTAAAAAAGCAAATTCCAACAAATATGGCGAATGAATGTAATGCGACAGTGGCGTTACTACAGGTAGTTTATTAGAATTTTATAGTTTTTATTCCTTCGCTACGCCTCTTTATTACAACGTAAAACTCAATACATTTTTCTTATTCATACAGAAAAATATTTTTCCTTAACATCACGTTTGTCTACTTATTCATAAAGTCAGTCATTGTATAGTATATGACATAGTATATGACATAAGTTAACACAGATTACATCTATCCCGTTTGTCGATTTTCGAGTTTCCTTTAACATAGAATAATAAATATAATATTAATATGAATAATATGAAAATTAATAAATTGTAATAAATACTATTATTTAAAAAAATCTATTTGAAATACAACTTTTTTTCTTGGTGATTACTGGAAAAACCAGCCATTGGTCAAGTCTAACCATAGTTTATGACATAAGTTAACACAGATCACATCTATCGCGTTTGCCGATTTTAGACTTTCCTTTAACATAGAATAATAAATATAATAATAATAATGCATGATTATAAATATATATACGGTCCGATAATTAAGAGATTAATTGTTCCACAATAAATCAATTTAAAACTTACATAGAATAATATGAAAATAAGTAAATTGTAATTAATACTATTATTTAAAAAAATCTATTTGAAATTCAACTTTTTTTCCTGGGGATTACTGGAAAAATCAGTCATCATAGTTCGTGACATAAGTTAACACAGATTACATCGATCCCGTTTGCTGATTTTAGAGTTTCCTTTGACATAGAATAATTAATATAATAATATTAATTGTTCCACAATAAAGCAATTTAAAACTTATATAGAATAATATGAAAATAAGTAAATTGTAATAAATATTATTATTTAAAAAAATCTATTTGAAATACAACTTTTTTTCTTGGGGGTTAATTTTGTTTATTGGTTTCAATAAACTAATTCGTGCTTGTCTCAAATAAATAAATGTATTTAAATATTATCAACCATTTGTTCGAAAAAAATTTTTGGAATTTTTATTTATGGCAAATAATTATTTATTTAGACCAAATAAATAAATACCCGGATCTGCTTTGTTGATTATATCAATCGCTATTTTGTATTTAACATTTATAAAAAGCAAATAAAATTTGTTTAAATACAAGTAACTCAATCATTTATAGAGCACCGCGGCACCTGTGACATTCTAGCTTTTGTAGGTCGTAAGTTTTTTAGGCTTTTGGAGGGAAAGTCGTAACAATTATTATGGAAATGGTATATTTTTAATTAAATGTTTCGTGGATCATTTGTGAATTATATTTCAGAGTAAATTCTTATAAAATTTATAGCTTTTGGTGTTTATGTAATGTATAATGTAGTGATATGAATTACGTTGTCTGGTATGTAGCCCAATATTTTGAAATCTAAAAAAAGGGAATTGTTTGCTCCTAGTTTTTCTTACATCTTGCCGCATTCCGTCATCTTTCTTGGGTTCCATAAGCAAGTATAGATTTTTTTTATTTTTTATTTTGTAAGCGAGTTTGAGAATATTGGTCTCTTAACGGCTTTATTATCGGCCAACGTTTTTCTTTTCTGTAAACCTTCCTTCCATGGTTGTGAGCAGTATTGCTTGGTGCGGATTTTTAGGCTCCCATCGTTTATTTTTCAATCCCCTAGGCGCTGGCAAGCAAATAATTTCTTCAAAGGAAGTATTTAGAAGAGGTTCCTTGGGTTGTTGATATTAATCTAGCAAGGGGAACATCGTCATCGGACGAATCATCTTGACTCCGATCGATGTGTATGTTATGGTGGTAAGTTTCGTTCAGAACTGAGTAAAGCATCACTTCCAGCAAAATGTACATCACCAAAAACGTGTCTATTCACAGGCCACATGCCACATTTAAAAAATCCATTCATTGCTGTAGCAACGTTTCTTTTTTTAATATTTATTAATATATAATTAATTTATTAACATAATTTATTATTAAAATTTATGCCAGAAACAAAATAAAACGCTAAATGAGGAGAATCTATAACACAAAAGAAGTTACAAAACTCCTATGATGCATTGAGAACGGATGATAACCTATCTGCCGACTGACAGTTGTCAAAAGTTCGCGTCACGACTCTGTATAGTCCTTATTCAGTAACATATTACACATTAATCTAATGTATGTTGAGAAATGAACCTATTCCATTAGAATGGGAAATAACTTTTATTTCCACCATATATAATAAAAGGTAATAAAAAAGTATGCTCAAATTTTGGAGAGTAACAGCTTCAGCGGGCAAACTGTATGGACGGAAATTGCTGCAGACAATAGAAGAAGAATTTAAAAACATGAAAGAACAGGTAGGTTCCGTGTTCACAGCCTTTTCAGAATAAATCAAATTATCGAAAAGTCGTTGGTCTACAGAAGTGGAATGCATCTGGTTTTGTTGATTTAAAAAAGCATACATAAATACATAAAGGATGTTGTCCCCAACGCTTTTCAGGAGTCGGAGATATGAACATATGGGAGTCAAATTCTTATCAGTAACGGTTACACAATGTTATGCGCGAATGAAAACTTGATAATTGTCTAATGAACCAAAACTAATTGAACAGTATGACAAATGGGGATGCAATCTCAGACGACCATAGAGAGGAAAACGATTTACGAGATGTGTTCAAAAAGCAAGGTGACTTTTAAGTTTTATCAAATAGTATGTATTTATTTATCAAAATTAATGTTGTCCAATGTAATCCCCCTCACATGACGTGCTCTTTTCGGTCTTGGCGATTCTCGGTTCTTCTATTGCGACGACTGGGCTTCGGTTTCGATGTCATACCTATACATCCACGATTCGTCACCCGTTATGACATTTTTGAGCATCAGGATCATCATTTTGACTTGCTGTGGCGTTATCGGCCTTTTCTCGGCCCTCTTTGAATAGCATGTACCACTTATAAACATTTTTTTTTGCTCAAAGTAGATTCACCACATGTCATTGTTAACATTTTAAATGTTTTACAGTACTGTATTTCATTTTTTATATAAAATTTTATGCAAATTATTTGTTCCATTTTTTTTGACAGCAGAAAATAGCCGAGCACACAACACACGTCTAAAACTTCTGTCTAGGTGGTAGGTGTAGACAAAAAAAAATAAAAGACAAAAATAAAACTTTTCAGTTTAATTGTAGAGCCTTATGTTACTTATCGGTCAGAAATATGGACATTCAATAAGAGACTTCGGCAAAGAATAATTTAGTTCGAATCGTTTATGCAGTGAGTCAAAACGAAAAATATTAATTTTCGTCAACAAATTAAATGGAACACCCTGTATTATACTTCCATTAAAGCTCCTATTAATGCTTTTTCAATTTTATTAAGCATACCTAAACTTAGTATTTTTTGAGGTATACATATTTTTACGAACAAAACTAAGATGATTTGTGAAATTATTAGAAAATATCCCAATAAGTCAAGAATAAAAACAAATAAGTAAACCTTTAATTTTGTAAAAAAAATGCTTCTTTTTTTCCATTAATTTAGAAATTCTACCTTTCCTCTTGGCGATGCAAATAAATAATTATTTGAAACCTGTCAATCTTGTTTTCTCAATTAATGTTGTTAGTTGCTTAACTTGCAACTCAACCATGATCTAGCGAGAATAATGCATTATTGGCTATGAGAATTTACAAACAACAGTATCCCGATTGTTCTCTAAAACAACTTTTGACAAGTTGATGAATTGTTTTACTCCAACTGAAAGTGTTGCTTATGGAAAGAACAAAAGAGTCAGGACTGTGATCAACAAACAAAATGAATTTCAAGTATTACTTAGTGCCGCAGAAAACCCATATGTAAGTACAAAATCTATAAATGCCCCAAGACTTAATAATTTCTTAGAGTTCTGCTCCGAATAACATTTTGAGAAAAAAAAAGCATTCTTATTATGTACTCAATGAAAATGACTATCAATTTAGATCAACATTTTATGAATGAAATAATTTTTGAAAAAAATGATTTTTTTGGGATATGTGTTATTTACATATGAATAAACATTCCGCAAACATAATCTTCACTATTATGCTAACAATAGATGCCATTTTATCATGACACACAGTCAGAAAAAATGATCTTTAAATGTTTGGGGTGGTATAATAGGACATAAGGTTTTGATCATATGAATGAGAAAGTTTACTTAGACTTTTTACATCAGAGGTTGCAAAATATGTTAAGAACCATTCCAAACGAAATGAGGATGAGAATGTGGTTCCTTGATGATGGAACTCCACACCATGGCTATCAAGTTATGAACTACTTAATTTATTTATTTCCTTGACGAAGAGGTAGTCTGATTAGATGGCCACCTTCTGATCTGACAAAGATATACTATTTTCCGTGGGGATATGTTTAAGACCAGATGCATAAAACTGTCCCCACAAGAAAAGAGGACATGAAACAGAGGATAAGAGAAGACTTTCAAAATGTGAGTCATGAAATGGTAGCGAATACGGCTCGATCATTTAAAGACGATGTTAGAGCGTGTATCGAAGTCGGTGGAAGACATTTCGAGCAATAAATAAAGTGAAACTTAATTAAACATTTCTATTTTGTTTTGCAGTTTTCTTCTTAATTTTTAAGTTTTAATAGTTTAAATACTGTGTAACTTGTTTTTCCAGAGTTCGCAGTTCATAATTTTATTTTATTTTAATTTTATTTTCGCATTACATTTGGTATTCACATGTAACGAATGTTATTATCTGAAAGAATTATACTTTTTGTAATATTTACGCACGGTTTGAAAATTTTCAGTATTTTGTTCGTAAAAATATGTATAAATAAAAAAAATCCTAAGTTTAGGTACAAGGAATATAAAATAAAATTAAAACAACATTAATAGGAGTAATTAATGGAAGTCTAATATACAGGATGTTCCATTTCATT